GTTGTTGTTGTTGTTGTTGTTGTTGTTGTTGCTGCTATTGTTGTTTGAGAAATATCGATAGAAAATGAGTAATAATAGGGTAATTATTTCTGATTACACTGTTTAAAAAAGGAAATTAGTCAATGATGCAGGTATATGTGGGAGAGAAATTTACCGAACTGACGATGACAACAAAACATTTTTTGATCAAACTTCCTGCTACTGATTGGTGAAAATTGTACGTCATTGGTTTTTTGACGATACTGGAAAATTTCATCATATATACAATAAAATAACAGAAAAAAAAATAGTTCATTTTCTTTTTCTTTCTATAAAACTTTTGGACTTTTTTTTTGTTTTCATTTCTTCCAATTTTTTTCTTGAATTTTTCTCTCATAATCAAAAATTATCCATTCTTTTTGCTATTCAAATTTATAATGCTTTCTCGTCTTTTTTTTTAATGAAGTTTTTTTTTTTGGACAAAAAGAAAAAATTAACAGAACATGAAATTGTCAATATGAAAAAAGCACGGAAAAATTTACTAATATGATAAAAATACTATACAGTGCTGATTTTTTTCTCCTTGTTTTCAATTTTTCAATAGAATTTGATAAATGTGATAATTAATTCTATTCTATTTCTTTATTAATGTTGATAGTTTTGCTTGAAAGGATTTGTTAATACCACATGTCATCTTACTGTTATCGCTAATCAGTATGATTTTTCCACTGGAACATTCTATCATTTTTCATTTCATAATTCCTTACTAAATTACTAGCTATGAAAAGGATTATGCTAATGCAAAAGGAATTCGATATGAATCTTTCTTCTCCACAGTTTTATATTAATATATTTTAGCAGCAAGTGGTTATTATTTAGAAGGTTAGAAAATATTTAAAAAATTTCCCTCTTTAAAATGTTATATATTGTGGAAAGGAGGAAAATTGATAAAAAAGACTATTAAGATATGAACATTCTTAATAATCTTTTTTATCAATTTGCATTTAAATGAAGCAAAGTGAATGGCGGCAAACAATTAAGAGATTACAAATGAACAAATTTCCGTCTCTATAATTAAATATAACAATTAGCAACAATTTGAAATGAATTTGACACCTATACATATACAATTCTGAATTTTAGAGCAAAATTCCTATTTTAAAGGAAGGTACGACAATTTTTTGAATGCAATAATTATTGGCAATTTAGGAGAATTAAATATTTCCCTAAACTTAAATTCCGATAATTGTCCAACGACCAACTTGCATTTCAAATGATCTTTTTAAATTCGATTTCCATTAAAAGTGTAGAAATTTGGGCTTTTTTGCTACTTAATCATCTGTCAGCATTCTCATTCTAGAAAAAGACATCTGAATTAACACAGAATACAAACGAATTAATCTTGATTAATTCTGAGTTCAGAAATAAACTTCAGTTCATCAAAGCTACTACAGAAAGTAAAGCAGCCTCTAATTTATTTCAAAATTTCAATAAAAAAGAAATTAATGGAGAAAACTTTCCCATAAAATTCAGTAATTTAAAGTAATCATGTTAACTTTATGCCAACTTTTGACATATGTTTAGCAAATTGCTTTTTAATTGCTATGAAAAAAGTATGCACGTAATTAACCATCGATTAAAAAGTGAATGGTACCATTTATTACATTACTTCAGTATATCTGCATTATCTTCGTACATATTTAATTATATTTAATATATAAAAGATGAATAGTATATTGATAAAGTAAAGCAATCAAATTAATTAAGAAAATATAAAGATACAATGCTCTAATCCGTCATTCTTTAATATTTGGAAAGAAATTCCAAACACTCATGCCAGTATCAATTTCCAAAGTATTCAAACTTGGCGCTCACCAATTTTTGCTCTAGATTACAAGAAATTTTAAATTAAAAAATAGATTTTTTAATTCATATAAACTTCTAATACAAGCATTTTGTCTACAAGAAATAAATAAATGAAGAAATAAATAAGCGAAGAAATAAATAAGTGAAGAAGTAAATACAAGAAAAATTAAAGAAAGATCAACTCATTATTAGTAATTTATTGACTATTCGTTCAATATTATAATCGATAGTATTAAAATTAGCTCGTGGCTTGCTTTTTTTCATTGTACTTATCCATTTTTCTGGAACGTCATCAATACCAAATCGAGCACCTGAAAGAAATCTCCTTCAGCACAACAAAAATATTGCAGAAAAAATAAAAAAAATTAAAACAAAAATCACCTATCACTTACCAGTATAATATATTGCTTTGAGACAGTGCAATGTGTTCAGAAATTGTAAGTTGCAGATAGGCCATACTTTTATATTTATTACCATGACGAATTTTTAATCATCAAAAGGTTATAGAATAAAAAATGACTGAAATGATTAGAGGCGGCAATAATTTGTTTTCTAAACAGCATAATTTGTTTTCTAAATAAGATATTCGGCATAATATATTCCGAGTTTACTAAAATTTTTAGTGAATATTACGCATACAATAGAATGTACAGGTAGAATTTATAGGATCTTCAGCAAAAAAAAAAAAATTTACCAAGTAAAGCTCCAACAATGGCACCATTTGTATCGGTATCCCCTCCACGTGATATTGCATCAACTAATGACTTCGTAAACGATATACCGTGAAGAAGTTCATAAAAAGCACTCTGGAATACTTTTTTTATCATTCATTTTTCATCCAGCAAAAAGGAATTGATTTCAGCTACTGCAAAATTTATCTCTTCACTCCTTCGTTTTTATTAATCCCTATTAAAAGTGCTACATAATTCTATAATAGAATTTGTAATAGTACTTTATAAGAGAAATAAATAAACCTGCAGAGCTACTCCAATATATCCCATCGCTTTCCCATCGCCATTCACAAACTGATCTCCAATGTTGACAGGTACAGGTTTTTCTTGAGCAGTCAACAAATGTTCACGGATACGCATACTTTTAGTTGATTTCAATGCTACTTCAAATGCTTCCTACAACAAAATTAAACTTTCATTTTGAAGTTTCCACACTGAATATAATGATATGTTGAAATATCTCGATTTTCATCTTATCACAAACTTTTTTTCTATGAAGATTAAAACAGTTATAATACATCATTCATTTAAGTAAAAATTCAGTTAATTGCTAAAAATTCTTTTTTGATACTGAGTCAATGCATGTTCCTTAATTGGAATCAATGTATCGAAATGTCTAAATAATCTGAAGAAACAATTTTCAATAATCAGCAATTCAGCAAAAATTTCCACATTCTAAACATCATCAATACCGCAATAACATATTAGTGGTAATCAATATACGGACATAAATGATAATATTCGCACAAGCACTTTTATCATTTAATAATAATTTCGAATTGTTTCCAGTGAAGCAACCATCTCCATTACATACATTTATGGTCTTTTTGGACATTCCATACTTAAAACGCTTACAATTTCTTAATAAGCCATAGCAAAATGAATAACCTTATTGCTATTCCCATTAAGCAAATGTCGTATCGCAATAACGTAAGAAAATACGGCTTGTTTAGCGTCCTCTTCACAATGTGTAAGTGAACAATCTGTGCGAACCATTTCCTCTACTCTAAATTACAATAAATTAGAACCAAACAAACCATTAAACAAATCAAAAAATACACTTTGGCAAGGACTATAAATTATTGAGGAAATCATGAACAAATAAAGTGCAAACCATCAAAATGAAATTAACACGGATCTGCTCATATACTTTTAGTTTATCTATGGCCAAATTTGATCTATAATCGAATATAATTACAATTAATCAACAGTGCTAATTAATTATAATTATATTACTAAAGAAAATATTTCCAAAAGAGTTGAATAGAAATTTATTCACTGCCAAAAAAGACATCAAGAAAATTTGAGATATTGAAACATTAAAGAAATTTGGAAAATATGATTGGGATACTTGCAAATTTGCATATCGAAGAAAAAAGATAGTCATAATTATGCCTTGAATTTTCAACAGTTTTTTATCAAATACTCAACAAAATGAAAACATCCAACTGAATGGATAATGCTATCCATCAAATGCAATGAACACAACCAAACTAAGAAGGTAAAAAATTACCGCTCTATGGGCATATTAATAGAATGGATAGCCAGAGGTGATATTCGCATGAGGCATCCATTACTTAAACTGCCAACATTATAATTTCTCACATTATTCAATATCTCTCGATGCACTGCTTCTTTCTCGATATCACTCAATTCATCGTGCCAATTCGGTGACAGTTGTCTTTCTGTAAATCTCAAGCTAAAGCTAAAACATGGCTAAACACAGACAAAAAAAAGTCATTTTTCTACGTTTAAGCACTTCTACAAAAAAATATAACCGAAGTTTTGTTTTCATTTTCAAGTTCATTACTTAATACCAACAATTTTTGAAAATTACCAATTTTATCATAACATAGCATCCCTCATATTATTAAATTTCAGTGAATCAACGATTAATCAAGATCTTACATCACGAATTTTTAATTTTCATCATATAACACGAAATATATGATATAATATGACACGAAATAATACGATAAATTAGAATACCGATAGTTAGCGCATTTCGAGTAGCGTTTCCAATATCCGGTGGTTTAGACTGACTCCAAAACACATAACTACAAGCAACATTAGCCGCATTAAAAGCACCACAACGGATTAAGCTGGAAGCTAACGAAAGAGCCATTTCAGAATCATCCGTTACCGAAAAATTCGTTAATCATTTTCAAATAACATTAAGCATTAAAAAATAGTACCCTTTAACCCTATAACCTTTTTCTTAATGGTAAAGACTTCGAAGTTTTTTTAGCTGCAATATCTTCAAACTTTTCCTTTTGTTTCATATTTAATTCGATCCTACTACCCAATTCTCAATAAAAATTAATGATAGCATAATAGTGATAAGCAATACTAATAATAAAATCAATAATTCCAATAGCACTAATAACAATAACAATAACAATAATGATAATAATAATAATAATAGTAAGACAAAAAATAAACCTGTCCCGGCAATAATTGAAGCGGTCCACCACCAATTATTGGTAGAAAAGACTGTACCAAATCATCGGTTATCATTCGTTGAACAACTGAAGCTGACTGAAATTCATATCGAGACCCTAATGAATCACCAATTACTTGTCCATACATGCAACCCAGGGCTCTTTTTGTATATTGCATCTATCAATATGATAATATTGTCTTAAACATGAACACTGATATTCCAGTACTGAAATGTAATCATTGAATTTTTTTGAATTAAAAAACATAAATTACAAATCCGCCTATTTAAAACTTGAAATATAATATAAGTGAAGCTTAAGTTGCCCTAAATCTAATCTAAAATGATCCACTCCACAACCCAAGCCCATCTTATAACCTATTTTATAATTTGATAATTGCAATAGGGGAAATGCGTCGTAAAGTATCGCCCGTCCACTTCAGATGTTACCGTTAGGCTGACCTTTGTCGATCTCAGTTGTGTCAAGCCTGGTTGCGATACCCTTCTGGTATTAGATGTGAGGTGCCACGGATAGTTAACTGATATAACATGCGGTATGTGGGTGACTAATACAAATTACAAAGAACCCATTATTGGTATGCTGGGGCCAATAGTTGAACTCTATAATATGCTACATTAATTAGTCGTGGCCAAGCTTTTGTTAATGCATAGTTTTTATTATCTGGTAAAATAATTACAAAGAAATAAACGTACGAGACGTTAAGAGATCATCAGTCATTCAGTACATTCAAAAATGCCAAATCAATCACAATATTTTTTATCAATTTATGCGAAATTTGATTAGATCAAAAGATCAATTGATAAGATAATTTTCGTGCAAAATAATACAAACATTCAACTTTTGGCATTATTTTCTAATCATATGATAGACAATGTTTTTTTTTTCAATAAAATGGTTCAAAGGTGAGAATATCATTTATAATGAGAGTTAATCATCATTAAAGATAAATTGCTCAATAATATTTGAATTTATTTCTTACTTAAAATATCAATCGTTCTAGTTTTTTTTTTCCTATCCGTAGTTTTTTTTTTCCATTCAACAAATAAAGTAAAACCTATAAAATATAATCATATGGTACTCGAAGTAGCACTTACAAATTACAGCCTTGTATTAATGGTACTCAAATTATTTGAGTATGCCGCAACTGAACCACAAAATGTTTCAGAGCCTCGTCGAGTATGTCTTCTTTGTCGCTGATTATTGATATCATTATCAATGTTTACTTCCTTATCATCTCTTCCAAAGAAGCTACTCAACGTTTTTTGTTTTCGTGATTTTTTTTTCTCTGTAAACTTAATTTTTTTTAGTTAAAGAAATTCATGATTCAGTAATTTAAGTTGACAAATGGAAAATTTTAATTGCTGTATAATTAGAAATAATATATTTAATTTTCATCTAAAGCTGCAAATGTCAATTGCATTTGTTTTTTGGCAAAAATTTAAGATCGAAACTGTTTTTTTTGTTCATTTTCTCTCTCTTTCCTTTGTGCTTTCTTCTTTTAAAAGAAATCACAAAATTTGTTCATTGAAGCAAATCCGGTTTTTCAAGTCATTTTGCTTGGCTGATTATTTGTTCCTAAAAAAATCTCAGTTAAAATTTCTTACCAAAATTTAACAATGGAATAAAAGTTTGAGGGGAATTGATTTTAAAGAAAGAAATTAGAAATATAAATAAATTTATTGGAAAAGGAATGAAAGGAAAAAAAATGCTAAAGCAAAAAATGAAAATAATAAAATTAAAAATTTGAAACAAAAACAGTAAAATCTAAAAATCTTATTAGTTTTTAACAATGCTGTTTCAAATTTAATTTTAAATGAGACAAGAAAAGGTTTGGCTAATATTATGATTATAAGCAATTTCTTATCCGTAATCAATATTAGCATTTATAGCCAAAAAAGGAGAGAGAAAGGGAAAGAAAAATGCGGAAAAATATGACATGTATAGGCATGTATACAGGCAAAAAAAGGAACGAGAGGAAAGCAAACTGAGAGAGAGGGAGAGAAAAAAAAAGAAAAAACTATCGGAAGATATTTTTTGATGATGAATAATTAATATCGCACCTAATATTTTCTTTCTTTCTTTCCATCTTTGAACTTTCTTTTTTAATATTTTAAATTAAAAATACTTAAATTAATGAAACAATGCTCAAAACGTTGATAATTTGAATTGTTCATCTTTTTTTTTAATTTTTCAAACTAAATCTAATGCCATCAAGGATTTTTAATCGTTTTCCTTAAATTTCTTTCTTAGTGGAATTTTTCTTCTTTTTTATTCTTCTGACAAATTACATTTAAAAAAAAAAAACAGGCAACAAATTACTCCTCATCCATTAAAAACACCTTATTGACATTTTGTTTTCAACTAAATGGATGATTATTACAATATCTTCGACTTTTATTATAGTTCAACTATTTGGTTACTATGAAAGTGTAACGATAACAAACTTGATAATTACAATAATACACAAACTTAATTATTTCATATTACCATATCAATCTTGATGATTACCGGTAGTATGCTAAGTTTATATGATTGTAGAATAAATATGATTGATCATCAAAATAATAATTTAAGTTTAATGATTGCAGTAAATGTAAGGAATATAAAATCGAATGAAATAATAACCAACGAAAATGTAGGAGCAATCGTTGTTCAATATGACGTCGTCTGGGTGGCGTAAATGACGGCATTGATGTGGGCTCTGAAAGACGCCGATACGATGGATCCATGTTTACGAGATCATTACTTTCATGCGCACTATTCGTTGAGAATAATCGCTGATGCACTACGACATATCCCTGCAATAATTATACTAATTATTCTATAATAATCATGTTCTATGGTAAAATAGAATAAATTTTATCAATATTAATAAAACACTAATAATGATAATTGTAACATTGATGGAAATAATTTGTCATTTGTAACTGGTAATACTACAATATTTAGTTGCTAAATCAAATTATTTAAATTTCATTATAAAATTTAAAATTTATTTTAATTTTTTCTTTTAGTTGTGTGAAAAAAAAAAAAGAAATTGACATTATTATCTGACGAGGGATCATTCATTGACATGGAATAACGCCTTGTTTCCGCAGCTACTGCTTCAGTAATGGCCTGTGACGATTGCGCATTCAATTTGAAATCAGGCGTCTTATGAAGGCCAATAAATTCACCCAACATATTAATTAACGAATTACGAAGTTTCATCTTTTTGTTATATGAAAAGTGAAGGCATTTAAACAAATATTGTAAATATAATTTAAAAAATTGAATACGTTTTTTTGCTGTTTTTTGAAATGATCGCATAATAGCTGAAAATTGTTTTGGAACATTTAATAATTGGCTTGCTTCTTGTTACTTGTCTTAATGAACATCAAACACTTTGTTAAGCCAATTTATGGCCAAATTAAAGAAGTTTAAGGGTCTATTTATCATATTTTTTGAGTTACTAACACTTTCCACTACTTATCTAATTTCAATAGTAATAAATTTCTATCTTTAACAATAATTGTTCTATTATTGTTAGTGATTTTTAGTATCACTTTATCTTTTATCATTAATTAATTGATTTTTTACTAAATGAATTAGCTAAACAAAAATTCAATTTAATTGAACTCTCCTACTCTATTTTCTCCTACACTTAAATGTCATCAAATAGATAATTTTTCTTAGACAAGTTTTGAAGTAACTTATTGGTAATTTTTTTAAAGAATTGATTTAATTAATTATTGAATAATTAGGATAGAGCGGAGGAAAAAAATGAAGTAAAATAGAGAGTGAAAGAATGAATAAAAGTTCTGGCGAAGAAATAATTTGGTGCGAGTACGGTAAAATTAGGTGATTCATTTTGGTCGGGAAGAAAAATTACGAATTTGGAATGAATGACTGAAATTGTCAAATGAATAATCTTCGATCTTTTCTCCCTCTTCCCCTTTATCTCTTTTCCTTTTACGTTCTTCAAAAATTTTTACCCATTTTTCGTTTCTCTTCCCAATCACTCCAGTTGCCTTAATTTATCTACTTGTTGATGAAAGAGAAAAAAAAAGGGATCGAAACATAAAAGAATCTGATCAAGTAAGCCTAAAATAAATAACATTTCGTTTTTTTTTTCTATTTTCATTTTTTAAAAATATTTTTAATAAATTATCAAGTGAATGAGAAATATTGCGAACGGATGAAATTGGGTTATTGCTAAATAAAATGAGCTGATTAATTAACTAATTTATGATTGACTAATTAATTGAATGAATGATTGATTTTGTTTACTCATCAACTGATTGGTCGATTCATTCACTTACTTTATTCGTTAGTTAATTAATTAAGTTTACTAATATATACATTTTATTTTTTTATTTATTTGTTGTATTCTACATGATTGTATAAAGCTTCATATTCAAATAAACTTTCCGAGAAATAAGAATGGATACTTTTCAGTGAGTTAGATGATGAATTATTTTCTGGAATCCTAGGTCTTCTTTTAATCTTCTTTTAACTGGAACATTCCGGAAGCTTAAAATGTTAGCCTCAGAAAGGATCATTATCCAAAATTTATACACAAGCATGAAAAGGTGATAAGGCGATATAAGTTCTTGAAGTAATTGTACCTTACCTTCCTCATATTTTCTCCTTTTTTACTTATTACTATTGCACATAAATATAATTTCGAAAGTTGCAGATAGTTTGATAATTTATTTCGATCCCCAAATCAAATAAATAACACAAGCAAGCAAATAAATAAGCAAGATTAAAAGATATTTTTCTGGGAGAAAAAAAATTCATTAGAGATATTTTCATACAAAAATAATAATTTGTTCTTTGCTAAAATTTTCTTCTATTTTTCTTCCGTATCATTTATATTTGCACGCATCATTTTACGATAGTGGGATAAAATACTGTTATATGTAATACGATATAATAAACTAAATTGCTTTTGAAGGACGGGAAAATTGAGCTGTCGAAATCATTAAAATAATTTAATTTAATTTAATTTTTCTTTATATTTAAATTGTAATCATTTTAAGGTATTTGAAATGTAATTAAGGTTGAACGAAGTGTAGTTTGATAAATTGATATTTAAACAATATATGATTATATATGGTCAGTGATAGATAATTGGATAAAACTTTTGCATAATATTGTAATTGAATAACTTTTCCTTCTTTTTTCATCACCGTCGTAATCACTATATTATTAATTATGAACAAGTAAGCATAATGACGTCAGTTAATTTTCGTTATCATCATAACTGACATTATTATCAGTGATCACTGGAAAGACATACTCAACTTTTAATAATCATTATAATCACTCTCACTATTAATTATTAGCGAGAATGTACAACCAATTCTTCATTCTCTTCATAACTCCTATTATTATAAGCTGTCAATTAATTTTTTTTAGTAAGTTACCAATGAAAAAGTGTAATTTAACTTCCTTCCTTTTACCTCTTTTTATCTCTCATTGTACAAACATTTCCTAATACTAGAAATCCCAAAATATATTTTTTTAGAGAAGAGAAGTTAAAATGTTATATAGTTGAATAATTATAACGCACGTACTTAGACAGTTATAAAAGTGAATTGAATATTTTTTCTGAACAATTAGAGAAAGCGGGTAATGAATTTAAAAATTAGTATAGAAAAAAAAAACGAATGTCAAAGATAAAAAATGAGAAGCAAATTAATTATACTCAAAATTTTTAATCATTCCGAAATTACTGTTGTACATATCATTGCGATAAAAAAGCTATTACTGCAAATGCTACGTTTTTTTTTTTGCCATTTAATCATTTGAAATATTCCATATGTATTTGCAAATTTAATACGATACTCTCCTACAGATATTATCTTATCAAAGCAATTAACAGTTTTTATTAACAAAAATAATTAACATATTTGGTAAGAAACAAGACATAAAAGCGTTTAACTGTAAATAAAATGGGAATTCTTTCATTTATTTTTAATTTAGCACAGTTTTGCCCTGCTTTTTATTTTTCTTTCAGAAAAAATTGCCTATTACAGCATAACGCATTTTTTACCGTAAAAGCAATCAATGAATAATTGTTGTATACCGTAAGATAATATTGTTTATCATTATTTCCCTCCTCTCATTTAAATAAAACATGTTATTTAAATCATTACTTGGATGATTTAAATAACATATTTTTGGTAATATTTTTTTTTCAGACAACGGAAAATTTTCCGCCATTTACCGTATAATTCCTCGTTGACATATTTTCGTAATTCCATCAAAAATTATTTGCTACTGGGAAATAATTGTTGGTTAAAATCATTCAGTTAAGAATTTTATTTTTTTTTCAATTAAAATGTAAAACCTTATTTCTTTTAGTATAAAATGTATGTAATGCTTTTGTCCGAATGCATTGTATATTTCGGTATTGAAACAACGAAATAATGTTATGGGATAATTAGTCATTAAAATAATTCGGTGATTGAAATTTTGCAGATTAAAAGATAAATATAAAAATAAACGTTTAGCATTTTAACCGAATGTATTGGGTATTTTGATCTCGAAACAATATAATAATATCATGAAATATATTAAATATTTTGGTCAAATTTATTGCGTGAAATTTTATTAAATTGAAAAATAAGCATAAATGCTGAATTGGAAATTCTTATTGATTTTAAATTGTGTGATATTTCCAGCAGAAAATTATAAATTTCATTCTAAATTTTCTTCCAAAAATGAATATAGCAAAATTACTGCATTAAATATTTATCAAATTAAATCACCAATTGATTAAATTAATTGCCCATTGATAACATGAACAATCCCATGATCGTAATGTGCAAAAGAAGATATTAACGTTTTTTTTTTTTTCCTTTTTTCCAACCGCTGGATGCAATATCATCTCCTTTTTTTATTTATCTCTGTTTATGAAATAACTGATTGCGAGATAGTTAGTTAATCACCTCACATTCAGTGATTAATTAATTAGCTTACTCTAACTCGGAGCAATCAATAACTTAAAAGAAAGTATTAAATTACTTAAGCCAAGAATTATTCAAATAAGCCTTAATTGGTTACAAACTTATGAGTATCTTCTTTAACACGACTTTTTATTGAATGCTAAAAAAATTTTTGAAAACCTGCACAATCTATACTTGAAAATCTAAAATTTCGTACAGAAAATCTGTACGAAATTTTAACTTCACTTTGTTTTCTTTTAATCAAATTGCAATTTTGTTATTGTTTTCTTTTAATCAAATCTGGAAACTGTAATTTTTTTCTTCGTTTACGCTAATCATCTTCTGCAAAAATATACTGTAGCACTACAGCACTTAAAGGAGTATACTACACTTTTATAATATGATGAGAATAAAATGCAATCAATTAGGGGATGTGTGCAAATGAAATCATTGCATCATTTCGAATTGTTGGTTAATTAAATTAATCAATCTTGTGACGCTTTCTTATCAACTAATCTTTCAAACTTATTATCTTCCCATTAAGCGTACATGGTCTTCCTTATGTTGTTAGTTAATTAGATTAATCAATGTCCAGCCACAAATAACATTTATCGATTACTGGCAACAACAACAGAATAAGCGATAAGGTGAAAAAGAGCAAGATCAGTTCGTGATGCAACTGCTAGAGATATGTGCAGAAAAGATAAAATACAAATCAACAGATTAAAGCAAGCAACAATAAGCTCATACAACAGACGAGATCAAACAATAGATGCCATTAGTGGGAAGCACGAACGATGGCAAGAGCGCTAAATGATAGATTTTCCAGTTTGTCCATCAGCATCTTACATGAATTTCCAACATCTTTTAGGAATGTTGCATCACTGGTCAAACCACAAATACGAGGAGATGGAGCACGAGAATCTGCAAATTTTTAAACTGTAGCATTATGTATATTTTAATCATAAATATTTGAGAAAAATTTTTTAAGAATCAATAAACCGAGATTTTTGTAAAATCTCTCCTTTTTTTTCTTGGTTTTTTTCCGAGATTTTGTAAATCTCGCCTTTTCCTTGGTTTTTTCTGATTAAAAAAACAAATAACTGACCGAGTTCAAGAAGTTTATCCTCATGTTTAAGGTAGCAGATGAAATGATGGTCAACTGTGCTCGAATCAGTCTCACCACCACGAGCACAATTTTCATGAGCTTCTGCCAGTATTGCGTTTTCAGCCAAGGAATCAGACCGCTCTTCAACACCCAATTCCACTGCTTTATCTAACCACTGCTTCAATGAACCATTACCTTCAACAAAACTATCTTGGATATGCAATTTAATAGTCGCAAAATTCAAGAAATGATTGATTTTCACCTTTATAATTTTGAAAATAAGCAGGATAATCTGAAAAAATTAATTGTGCTTAATTCTATTCTTTTGATGTCTTTACCTAATAATGCGAACTATTAATAAAGTATACTATATATCTACTTCTCCTCTTTTTTTCAGTCAGAAAGCTGAAAAATTTCTATGAAATACTACAGAAAACACAGTGAAGATTTCGAAGTCCGAATGAAGTAATAACACAAACACTAATAAAACTGGTAGCTATTCAACAATGAAGATTTTCCTATGGTAGAATTGATATTAACTGACCAAGATTAATTTTCTTATGATTATTGGCAAGCGAATGGATCAGTGCAAAAGTTCCACAAGCATTTGATATTTTTTGTTTCATAAAAAATACACCATCCGGTACCATGCACCCTTTCTCCTTCATTTTTTCGTAAATGGGTTCCATGATTTTATCAACCTAAATTTTATACTCACTGAGGACAGATACTTTCTTTGACATATAACAAAATTTGCTTTGAGTTCGTTATACCGACAGATTTGATTTAAAGACAATGGAATTGAAAAGTAGAAAGTGTAGCTCTTATATATTAAATTTCAGGTTCAGAAATGCTAAGTCCTCTGATTCCAACGGCTTATAATTTATCATTTGCAAAAAGATAAATTTTTGCAAAAAAAAACAATACCTTGTCAACCATCGGGAAACACAACATAACAGCATAACACGGTCGCGGAATGAAAGCCAATACATCGTCCTCGAAACCGTATATATCCACACATTCTACTCCCTTTTCCACACCAATTTTGTGCATAAACTAAAATCCGAAAAGAATTAAAGAACGGAATTGTACCTTAACTAAATTATTTTTGTTATCTATTTTTTAAGGTATACAATGAAAAGGAATAAAAGATCGCCAACTTTCATTCTCGCTAAAATACAAAATTTTCACATTTGTTATCACTTCCGGATTTGATTCCAGTGGAAGCCATTGGACTGGATTCGGCATAGTGTTTAATCCTGAAAAGCAACAATATATTTCATGACTGAAACAATATTTACCAATAGCATGAAAATATAAAACACCAATCTACTTCAATCGAATTTAAGACACATTTAAACATAAATAGATGTAATGAGTATTATAAAGGACCATTTCTTCATGAAAAACAATTTATTCAGTACAAAAATGCACTGAATATGCAACCAAACTTTGAGCCTTAAAAAAACACCCAACCGACAAAAAAATCTAAATCAGACTAGTCCGAGCATGGATATGGTTGTCAATAGAGGCAGAGAATATCGACTTGAGACAATTTTGATATTTGCAACCCAATATTTAGCAATTGCATGAGAATATAAAATACCAATCTACTGTCAATCGAATTTAAGACATATTTAAACATAAATAGATGGAATAGGTTTGGAAGGAACCAGTAACAATTATTCATTCATAGCGTTAGCAACGGTTCAATACGACCGAAGATTAAATAAAACATACTTCGAATGGAAAAGGTGAAAAAGTTTATTTTTGTTGTTTTAAATGATAGAATTTTAGAACTTTAGTAGGTAAAATTAAATTAATATATGGAAAAAAAAGCAAGCTTACATAAGACAGAAAGGAATGAAAGATTGAAACTCCATCAAACTAATAAAATAGCAAGAACAGCACCACCTTACTCTTCAGCAAAAGCAATTATGATACAACGTGGAATATCAAAATTGCAAAAGACCAGAATCTCAGTTAACTAAAAAAAATTTTTGAGCTATTCAATGAGGAGGAAAATCCTAATTTGACACAGTATGATTTATAAAAATACGCTTTCCGCATAATGAAAAGAATGTGAGGAATACAGCCAAACTAAATCAGATCACAATCACAATTTTTTTTCATGCTTGAATTTAGTATAAAGTTTAAATATGTCTACAAATATGTCTTTAGAAACTAATATCACATTAATGCAAAGAATTAACAGTGTATATCGATACGCAAACATAGACAGAGTATTACATGTTAAATTCATATAAATAAAATATAATCTCAGTACAGAAGTTGGATAATGGACTATATAAAAATCTTTCTAGAATTTATATACAGTCCACTACAAATATGCTATTATTTTTTGAATAACATCAATAAATTGCTTAACGAACAAGCCTAGAAAAAAGAAAAAAATAGACCGTGAACAATCAACAAACAAGTAACAATTAATACATACCCAATAAACAAAATATCATCAATGAGAAACTGGATACAAATAAATATTTTTCAAAGAGAAAAATAATAGATTCCTCTAAAAGATCAGCAGAAAATAAGCAATATAAAGAAGGCAAATCCTGTGACGCAAATCCACAACAACAACATTAATGCTGCAAGCGAAGTAAATTGTTTAGTGGACAAATATATTATTTCTGCTCAGGTATTTTTTTTTTTTTGCACTGTATAAGGATCGAAGTGGTTCAAGTAATACTTTGTAAATATTTGCATTATTTACTAAATCACTTTTTCTTCTTTACTTCATTTTTCGCACTTTTCCTGTTCCTTACACTTTCATCAGCCGATTCTTCTAAAAGTATTCTGGTTTAAATAACTGAATAAATAACATATCACGTCAAAAAAGACATGCAATCCAAAAACTACTATCAAAACATGAAAGGAGCCTACGATATAAAGAGTTATCTTTTATCCTATCATGGATTTCATTTCACTTTTAAATTGAGTTCATATTCCAAAAATCCTAATGTAACAATAAACCTCTATCTTGTTTTCTAACATAAAATGAATTAAGAGGACTTCAAAATCACCAGAAAACAAAAGTCCAATATGGATAATTAAAAGGAGAACACAAACCTTCCTGAGAATTCCTTTCATCTTGTGATTGATCATCGTCTTTTTTCTTTCCTTCATCCTATAAAATCAGATTTTTTTTTAAAAAATTTTACAGGAAAATTTGTCGAATGAAAAGGGAAAGAATGTGAAAAAATGATAGATGAATTAACATCACTGGAAGAAAAGCGAACACAAACTGCATGCCTTCAAATGAAGAGTCCACAAGAAATAACGATACCTTACCGTGAATCAATAAAATTAATCTCAGAAAGTTAACTTAAAGACTATATTAATTTCAGAGTCAAATTAGAAAAGATCGAAATTTGGGAAGTACTCTGGCAAACTGTTCCTCATTCAAGCATTGAACTACAAGGAAATACTGAAAATTTCAGTTCTTAAATTTCTGCAAATATGCTTTGAATCGTCGCCCGTAACTTATAACAGTAGTCACATAACCGATAACCTTTTGCAAGATTAACCATGTTTATCAAGAGCACATTAATTTCCAACACAATCAATTATTAGCATTGGTTCCAATAATCACAAAACCAGGTCAAAGAAACCAAATACTTCCTGGACATATTATAAATGAATATGGAAATTCCTCCCACGAGAATTCATTCTATGATATCTTGAAAATTATCTCCTAAATAAGCGTTTAATAAATAATAAAATCATACCTTTTTAGATTTCGTTTTTTGATCTTTCTTGGTTAATTTTTTTTCCGGTTTGGAAAGCTGTTCACCAGTAGGAAAAACTCGATCAATGATGCAGACAATGAAAAATCCAAGTATACAGCCCAAAGTCAAAGTTATACCAGCAAATACGGAATATGAAGCCCACGATGGTATGCCCACTAAAGATAGATTCATTCATTTGAAATATAATGCTAACACTTTGGGTCAATATAAATTAAAATTTATCTAGTAATGCTACTTTCAATAAAGTCTGACTGGTAAATTGCGCCACTGTTTTGATATTATCCAGCTACTAGTTATGATCAAACTCCTTATGAATTAAAGAAAAAGACAATAGAGATTAAAAAATGGTTCAAAAAACTTTCTGAAGAGAGTGTGAGTTAATAATGAAGACAAATTCAAAAATAAAATGTTATAAAAAGGACAAACCCTCTTCAACTAAATAGTTGTGCTTATCACGAACAAACATCGACAATTTAAAGAACCAAGCTACTACCGACATTCTGAAATGAATATGCTCATACCAAAATCGAGTAATGTTTCGATTAGAAATAGAGTTTTAGTGCTCTGTATAAAAAATTCTAAAACGAGTAGATGAAAAGATACAACCACTCTATCGTCAATTATTGATTATCACGAGCGAAGACTAATTTAAAAATCCCCTTTAAATTAGCATCACAAGTAAGAAAAAGATTTACTGCAGTGAGCTTGGATATTTGTAACTTGGGATTGGATCATCGAAAGTCCATTTCTTTTCCTCGATATAATTAATAAAATCATTTTTATCACGAGGCCCTGCATAGACGCGAAATACACCGTCCTTGACGCTAAAATTTATTTGTATTACTGTGGTGAATTTGTCTAAACAAAATTTTAAAGCGTAAGCCAATAATATCCTTTCCATCATTTCCTTGTTACTGATGAAGTAATACAAATATTTCAGAATTTGGAAATTTCTGAACTAGACAAATCTCATTTCACTGCGCAAAAAAAACCTTGTCAATCATAATTGCAGTTAGAGGATAAATTACATTTAACAACGATTAAGTTGTTTACGTCTGATTATGAGATAATGATAAGATAAAACAAAACATTACTTACTGGTAGATGGTGGGAAGTGCAGTAACAAGAAAACGGCCAGATAACCCCGGATTTACAGTAACATCGACTTCAGCGACATTAATATTAAGGTCTTTACTCCAGTCGGCAAATGCATGCCATGCTTTTTGCAAATCTTTGCAAGCTGGACACCATGGTGCATGACTGAAATGAAACAAAAAATAGTGCGGAACATCAATACAAATGTAAAAACAGTACAGAAAATCTCCTATATACGGTATAAAAGTGGAGCGATTAAACCAAATGATGTTGTATTCTTTCCACAAGCTCTTAACTGACTATTTCCGATGATGATAAAAATGTTTCATGGCTGTTCACAATATTACACACAATTATCCTTTTTTCGAAATATTTTTCTATGGAATGTAAACAGGTATTTTTTATGAAGTTATAAATACAAAGCTAAAGACTCAAATGAATCAAGAAAGGAGACAAGTTCAAAAATGATGAACAAACATACTGAAAGTATTGCAAAATTACTGTACGATAAAGATTTATTAGGCAATCTGGTGCTCATTTTAACTCACCATATATCATTTTAATTTAAATTATCCATGAATTAAAAATAATGCTTACAATTCAACCATCCATTCGCCATCCAATATTTTGGTCCATGTTTCTTCGTTAAGTGTAATCAAATTTCGACTAGCAGATTGGCATAGCGAAATCAAATAAATAACCAGTAATAAAATTATTTTCATTAACATACTTAGATCTGTAAAAACTAAAATTAATTATACAAATTAATTAGGAACCTAAGTTTTCCAGTTTCCAACGATATGACACAATGAAAAAAGAGCGAGAACAGCAGAACGCATCACTCAAATTATTTCTGGCGATGACGGAAATGTACACTTAATAACAATTAACAGAAATAACAAATGAATGACAGTTTGATGTATATTGCAACATACAATAATTAAATTAATGACAGAAATAATGATCACATATCGACTCAACGTAAAATGCAGAGCTGGTAATATGATGATAATCATTTAATTATGATAATCAAATATTCAAATCAGTCTCAGAAGTAATGCCTGTAAACATAACAAAGAAAGACAACAAAACATTTCACGAAAAGTGCAGAAAAGATCGATTCATGATTCATCGGTCGAGGGTGTGATGGAATTTTTTTTCCGACAAGTGAATGGAATTTAGAACGGGCAATTCTTCAGCACTTCAATGATTACCAAATGAAGGCAAAAGAAGCAACCATTTGCTTTAGTCTTACATTTATCACGGAATCATTAATGATATAATATTTTCTCGGAGCAGAACAAATACACAAATAAGCATCATGTGCTTTTTATGATTATCCTTATAAGGAAATAATGAAAGAAAATAAAAACATCTGAAAATAAGAATCGAAAATGATGATAACATAGTAGATATAGTCAATGGATATTTTTTGATTCATCTGTATTTTGCATTACACGATAGCAAATGTACTGTGAGTATATCAAAAGAACCAGAAACAAAAAATTGCGAACGAAAACGCAAAGAATTAGGAAAATTGCAAAAAAGTATGTATGGATAGTAATTTTCCCCCGGTTTCCGAAATATTCTCTTAAATAACAAGTTCCCCGAAGAATCAAACGACAGTGAAATAAGAAAAAAAGACACATAAATATCATCAGAATGACTGAAAGAAACATTCATAATAACATCATTATGATTATGTTAGCTGTAAATCGAATAAAATATTGTCTCTCTTGAACAGTAAATTTTGAATGAATGACTTTAACAATCAAATGTTTTTTCTACCTTATTCATATTTAAATTATAATGAAAATCTTATCAATTTGATTTATTTGCGTATATATTTATTCATCCAGGTAGCATTCTATTTGACAAAAATATCGAGTATGAGAGCTTGGATATTGTTCCAATTGAGTAAAAAAGCGCAGAAATTTAGTAGTACATTTATTTCAGTTAGCAAATTCCATTGCAGGTGCAAATTTTATTGAAAAATTCCTATTGTGGGAAAAATATCTTATTGGTAAAGCAAATTTTATTGATGCAGTAAATTCTTTTGAGCAAATAAAATGCTCAAAAATTTGCAAAATAACGAATTAACCCCAAAAATCATTCCAATCTCGCCTTGAAAATGAGGCGCAGCAAAATGAGTATGCGTCATCCATAATGCATAATGCAAAAAGGATTCATTATGAAAATCGTTCATCTCTTTCACTCTGCCAATTTTGTGGTGACCTTGTATTGGAATGAGCAGTTGACCAGAATTGATATAGGTCATTGCTGCAGAAGTGATGTGTGGCGATAGTTGGTACCACAAATTGATTAGTGAACCACTTATTGACATTAATAGTATTATAGAGATCTTTAATCAAATGGTACTATAAATTTAGTCATCCGATAGTTATAATATTGTTAGAAGAAAGGATAATCAAAAATATTTCAATGCATTCTTTAAACAAAAAAATAAAATTTAAGTGTGTTTTTAAATTTACATGACAAATTAACAACTTAAACTTACTATAACCATAACTAAAATCGTTTAATTCTATCTGTTTACTTGACGATTAAATTATCAATGATTTAAATCATTCAGCATTAATCATCGATTGTTTGTTTCTTTGATAACTTCTCAACAACGCTTCAAAATTATTCCAATTCTCACCATTATTTGTATATTATATTGGAAATAGAATATAGTTAATGTTCACTCATAATAATATGCATATTATATTTTAATAAAATAAAATTTAAAAATGATCGAATGAAAAAATTTAATTAAATGAAGGAGTAGAGAAAGAAGAGATTATGCTAATTAAAGTATATGGGCAGCATTTAGACTTAATTATGTAAAAATTAATAAAATTTAAAAGATGGATGAAAAATGGATGATAAGAATGAAGGAAAAAAAATTTCTAGGTCAATTCGGTATTTTCAATGATTTTTCTGCTATTAATAGGTACAATGGCCTCCTTTTTTCTATCGCCCTCTATTTTTTTTTATTCAAATATTTAAAAATATTTCTACTAATATCGAACAACGACCTATCTATTTTCCTATATCTCCCCTTCTCCTTTTTTTCTCTTTTTTTTTCCTTCTCCTTTTTTCTTTTTCTAAGTAAAAAATTTCATTGGTTTATATTACAATCGATGTTCATATAATACTTGTATAAAATTTTGTATAGTTTTCAAAAGCTGATTAATTTATAATAAACATTTTGTTCCTTTTCTCCTTCTATAACCAATTATTCACCATCCATTCATTTTGCGCCCGAGCATATATGCAAGATTATCTAAAGTTTAATATGCAAATAAATACATAAGCAAATGAATAAGTAAATAAGCAAATAAATAAATAAAATAAATAAATAAACAAACAAACTAATTAATTAATTAATCAATTAAAATTAATTTTCAATTAAAATTAATTAATTAATTAATTTGTTTGTTTGTTTAAATAAATAAATGAGTAAACAAATAAATTAGTTAAATAAATAAACAATTATAAAAACAAACACAAACAAGGTAAATAAATATAGATAATGTTATGATTAAAATGCAATCTATAAAGGTGCAAAATTTTCAAAGTTCTATAATGTACAATTAATTAACGAATAGTTTCAAAATGAAAAGGTTACCGAACTTGTTAAATAACGCCCATCATCAATCCTTTTCATTCCTATCATCTACAACCGGTTATGGTTCCACT